ACTTTAATATAAGTTTAACATGACAGCAAATGTACAACAATGTTGCGAAGTGATGTTCCTTAATTTCTTTTTTAATTAATATGTTCATATTTATGTACTTTTTCTCTATATTTAAGCTGAATTTTCTCCTCACTTTGTTTATTGATAATGCTGGCTCACACTCCAATAGAGTTAACAAAGTAATGTTATTTTTCACAGTGATACAAGAAAAGACTGATACCAGGTAGTGCTGAGGCTTCTGTTGTGATACCTATAATTGCATGGTCAAATGTAAATCAGCATATCAATATAAATAAGTTGTTCACTCATCTCATATTCAGTGAGTTTATCCACAAGAAGTGCATGTCCACAAAATGTACAATAACATTATATTCCAGCAACTTTGACATTCAAATAGGTTTGCCCTAGCCCTACAGATCAGAGGTCACAGTTTTTTCTGTGTATAATTGAAACAGTGATACTATGCTGTTTGTCACTTGACTCATGAGGCAAAGATAGCCTACTGACTGTTAGAAGCCAACACTGATCTTTTGTGGCCAAACACTTTACACATACTGCATGCTTGAATTTAATTAATGTTCATGGAGGCAGGAGAAAACCCTCTACATGGTTAACCATGGGATGTGTAAAAACCTTATGCTTCTCTAAACACATTGTTACAACAGCAGAAGTCACGTGAAGCTGGTAAAACATGTGACAAGTTTCTAGAAGTATCATGAAGGCTCGAGTGTTTGCCAGACACCCTCTATTTTTTGTATATATAAGCCCGGCAAAGAATTGCAGATAGGGAGGTATAGAGACAGATAATCGAGTCAAGTCGTAAGTACAGTGTATGAATCGTGGTGAATTATAGCGTGTGTTTAAGTTAAAGTGACTGTGGAAATTAAGTGTATTGCAAAGTTGTATTGAGAAAGAATAAACTAGTTTTATTTAAGAAAGGACTTGTATCACTGAAGTTCTTCGGAAAGAATTTTTACAGGAAATTAACAAATGAACAGAGACGTAACAAGTTGGTGTCAGAGAGTGGAACGGGAAAGAGAGAAAAAAAGAAGAAGAAGAAGAAGATGGAAATGAGAGGTGGCAAATCAAACTATAGCTTAGTAGATTTGATGGCAGCAACACAAGAACAGCAAACGAAACAAGAAAAACAAGAAGAGAGACAACAGAAGTTGCAAGAAAACCTGCAATAGTGGCAGCTCGAACAGCAAAATAAACAAGAAGAGAGATTACAGTAGTTATTGGAGGAAAAAGAAAAGAAACAAGAAGAGAAATTACGGCAGTTCTTGGAGGAAAAAGAAAAGAAACAAGAAGAACGAGAAAAGAAACAAGAAGAGAGATTACAGCAGCTGTTGGACGAGAAAGAAAATGAACAAGAAGAGAGATTACAGCAGTGGCACCTGGAACAAGAAAGGAAACAAGAAGTACAAATGGAAAACATTAGTAAATCTCAAAGTGAATTAAATATATTAAAGGATGATTTACTGTCTTTTACACAAGGAGGATATATAAGCCATTGACCTAATCAGCCTCAGACAATGGGAAGCCCCTTCCAGACCCCGCAGCTAAACCCTAATGCAGACATCTTCAGTCCTGTCAGAAGTCACATTCCAGACATGAGTGTCAGCAATAGGGGTGATCTAGTACGAAGGAAGCTACAGGAATGTGATGGGAAGGCACCGTGGGAAAAATATACAGCACAATTTGAGTTGCTGCCAGAAATGAATGGATAGACAGAGGAGCAGAAAGCAGTATATCTAGCAACGAGCCTGAGGGACAACCACTGGAAATACTTGGACAGTTGTCAGCAGACAACAGACACAACTATAGAGCACTGGTAGCTGCTTTAGAACTCAGGTATGGAATGCAAAACCAGTCCGAAGTCTACAGGGCTAGGTATAGGACTAGAGTCTGTGCTAAAGGGGAGAGCCTGCAAGAGCTGGCACAAGACTT